TGGATTATTATTATTAGTCTGCCTTTATCATATAAGTTTTTAAATGCTTTAAAAATTATGGGTGTTTCAAGGTCCTTTCGGAAGAAAAGAGAAAGAAAGAAGTTTGATAAAGGAAAGAAACGGTCACAGAGGACTGACAGATATTTGTGAAGTAACTTGGTCGATATTCCCGAGTTGCTAGGTTGAATACTACCCGCCGGGCTTGGAATCCTGGTTAGGAGGTGTGCACACTGACAAGTACGATATCTGATTCCACAGAGATTGTATAAGAACCAAGAGTAACGGTTCTATGGGCGAGATGAGTATTAGGCCGGCTAGATGCCGAGCCCGGATAGGTCCATTCACGATGCGTGAAGTTCCTACCTCGCCCACGAGTTTCAAAAAGAAAGTAAGAAAGAAAAAAGAAGAGAAAAGTGAGTCAAAGAGAATCAACAGAGATCCTCCACAGAAAATGTTCCATTTTATATAAAGAGTGAGAGTATAACTATATATTTATAGCATCATATCATATCTTGTTTCATGACTTAGCATATATTACATTTAGAGCAGCTAAGAAGTACAGTCTTATTGTTGTTTAAGAGTTGGCATGATAGCATGATCTTACTTGTTGAGTTTCAGTTATCTCTTTAGCTATTAGTATGGGTATGAGAAGTGCATGTTGGACTATAGTTGAAGATATTCGTTTATAGCATGTGAATGCGTTAAAGTATGAATTATTGAGTTAAAGCATGCTTACATGAAGTATAGGTTGCAAGCATATAGAAGTGTATATGTATATCTATTGAGACTTGTTGACTAAGTGTTGTAACTGATTATATTAATACTTGAGACTGCATGTGAATGAGAAATGTTTTTCAATCTATATCTATAGTACTTTATAGGGTTGAGTGGTTTTATACTTAGCATTAATTTGCTAACGGGTTTATTTTCCTACTTGTTTTATAACCCCTTTCATGTGAACCCAGTTCTTGAGAGCGCACGTGTTAGTTTAGTGCGTAGATTTGGATATGGTAGTCACTAGCTTAGTTTTCTACCTTAGTTGCATTGTTGACAGTTGTAGTTAAACTATCGTTTGATGGTGCGTAGACACCGGGGTTTGATCCCTATGATTATGATGTTTTGTAGAGTTTTTGACTCTAGTTTGTTAGATGTTTTTGTAGCCTGTACAGTCACCGTGAGTGGTGACTGTGGCGATGACATCCTTTAGTTGATCGTTTGGTTGGTTACATAGTTATCCAAGTTATTATTAATTATCTCAAGTAAGGTTATTTATTCGGGGTTTAGAATTTAGAAAAGGGGGGGGGGGGGGAGGGGGGTGTTACATATACACTTAAGGAATTGGAACTGTCTCCATTTGAGTTGATTTGATTTGATTGAGATACTTGTGATATTCTGTCCTTGAGTGGACTTGAGCTGTCTAGGAGCCCTCCACACTGATCCACTAGTATTTGAGTGGCCGAGGTTGACTTCGCGATGTTTGATTTATTGGTTGTCCCTGTGAGGACTTGAAAATTGATATTGATTGTGTGATTATGATGAGAATTGAATTGTATTTGGATTACGTGATTTGAACTACCTTCCTTTCCATTCATATCTTGATATGGTTAGTCTATTGAATCAGCTTCATTGTTGGAATTCTTACCCTATGTTAAGTCTTCGAGTTGAGTCTGATTGATGAGTTGAGTCCGACTGATGAGGTGAGTCATGCTATTGTTCATCTCTTGAGTTGATTCTGAATTAATTCTATTCTCTATTGTCTTATTGAATTAGAGTTGATTAGGAATATATGTACATATTCCCAAGTTGCAAAACCTATTTTGAATATCAAAAGTATATCTATATAGATTTACATATTGGAGTGGAGTTACTTAGCATCTCTCGCTAATTCTTTTAAAATGTTTTCAAGTATGGAGTAGAGACCTTACCTAAGCGCGCTTAGCAAGATGTCTAGCTTCTCTACCTTAGCTAGTTTATGTTTTGTTTTCTAGACTATGATGTTTTGTTGGAATTTAGTTTAAACCCTTGATATTAGTACTATGTTTGAAATTGATTTAGCTTTGGCCTTAGCACTTACGCTTGCTGACCTAAGTGTGGCATAACACCCTAGTTAAGACTATGTTGCTTCCCCAGTTTTAAATCAGACTTAGACTTTATTAATCCATCTTTATTAAATCTTATGCTTAAAGTTATATTTAGAATCAGGGGTGTTATAGGATATTAGAAATTTTGACAAGTATTGGAGTGAATATAGTGTAGTGCTTGCTTTGGGTGTTGTTCTTGATCGACGGTTTAAGTTTAAAGTATTGGAGAAGCTATATGCTAAGGTTGAGAGAAATCCTACTAAATGCCAAGAAAAGATTGAGTTGTTGAAACAAAAGCTTTACAAGCTTTATGATCAATATATGAGTGTCATTGGATCAAGTTCATCACAACCATGTTCTTCAACTGTCATGCACTCAAGAGTGGAAGTCAAGGATTGAAAAGTTGGGGAAAAGATTGTTTGATGTAAGTATTCTAACAGTTTATTCTGTATTTTTATTATATTATCTTAGTTGCTCGTATAGTTATTATTTTTGAATTAATGTAAGATGTTATAGATGTCAGTTCAGAAGTTGTTATGCATGTTGAAAAATTCAAATTGGATCGTTAGTTGGAGCAGCCATGTTATGAGATAAAATTTTATCAAGATTTGGATGTGTTAGATTATTGGAGGGGTCTTGTTCAAGGATATCCTCATGCAGGACGCGTGATCTTTTGGCAATTCCTATAACTGTAGTTGCATCGGAGTCGGCATTTTCTATTGGTGCACGTGTGTTCACAAAGTATAGAAGTTGTATGTTGCCTGAAAAAGTGTAAACTCTTATTTGCACTCGTAATGGGTTGCATGGTTTCAATATGGGTAAGTTAATTTATTAAGTCTTATGTTATATTCTCTTGATTTTTTTTAATTAGTGATTTAATTTTAAACATTTTTATGTATTTTATATATTGATTGTGATAATGTTGATGAAGTTGTTGATGAAGGAGATGAAGAAGATGATATGAATAAAGATGAATTGAATGATGGAATGTCTAATGTTTGATGAATTATGGACTTGTGAATTTTAAACTTTTAGATTATGCACTTTAAAATTATTGTTATGTTTAATGTTTGATGAACTATTGGTATGGAGTATGGACTATGGACTATGAAGTTGTGACTAGTGAGTTTGATGAACCATAGAGTATTGTCACGTTTAATGTTTGATAAACTATGGACTTTAAACTTTATAATTATTGTTATGTATTATCAATTATGTAATGTCTAATATTTGATGAATTATGCTTTATGTGAGTTATGTATCAAATCATTTTAATTATTTTTTGAGTGTACAAATGATAAAATTTAACAAAGCAAGTTAAGCAACAAACTAACAACTTAATAAATAAAAAAAAAATTAGAAAAAAAGGGGTGTTGTGGCAGGGCCCGCCTTTCAAGGAACATGCTTTTTTGGCCCACCCCGCCCCGCCAACTCTTGTTGACAACTCAAGCCTTTACTATATTTAGTAGATAGATTCTCATGTAAATCAAAGACTTACAATATAAATTTCCAGTAATTTTATTCTCACCAACTAAACAATATAATTTAAATTTTGATTTTATTCTACTCATTTTTCCTCTCTTATGATTCCATCCTTGCAACCAAACTCCACGTCATATAATTTTGATATAGATGCCCCAAAAATGCAAACTACATTTTTGCTCCTCTTTATCACAATTGAGGGAGAGGAAAAAAAAAAAAGCCTTAACATAAAAAGATCAAATGTGACAAATAAAAAAGTCATACATCAATTTTGATTGATTTTAAGAGTATTAAAAGTTGCATAGTTATAGTTGATTGACATTTTTTTTTTTTTAAAATACAGTTAATAATTTTTTTTATTTTTTTATTTTTTTGGTTTTTGAAGATCAAAGATTAATATATTAACTTAGAAGCAATAACAGTCTCAAGAAACAAGGGAGGAGAGATTAACCACTTCCCGCAATCTGACAAAGAAACGGCCTCCCTAACTATAACATGGGCAGCACGATTCGCAGATTGCCTAGTAAAATAAAAGATTACACCATGAATCTGGGAAGCAATATCTTTAATGTCATCTATGACTAAACCGAAAGATGAAGTAAACGAGTCAGACATTAAAGCGTAATAAGATAATTCTGAATCAGTCTCCACATCAATGTTATCGTACCCGAGCTCCTTCACCCAACTTAGGGACTCAAGAATGCTGACTGCTTCGGCTTCTTGTATTGAGTAGTAACCAGTAATATTTGCCCCTTTTTGGGTTTTTAATCATCTTTAGTGCCCACTAAAGCGCAAATTATGTTGTGGACTCGTGTCCACAATGCATTGTGGACACGAGTCCAAAACGACGACATTCCAGTTAAAAAAAATTGATTTTGTCTCGCCGTTAACGGCGTTATTCGTTTGTGAAATTATGAATGTACAGTTATGGAATTATGAATGTACAGCTATGGAATTATGGAATTATAAACACAGAGCTCAAACATTATGAACTTACAATTATGAACATATAGTGATAAAATTATGAACATAGAGCTCTAAAATTGTGAACATAGAGCTTCGAAAATTATGAATTTACAGTTATTGAATTATGAATGTACAGTTATGAAATTATGAATGTACAGTTATTGAAGTATGAATGTACAGTTATGGAATTATGAACACAGAGCTCTGACATTATGAACTTACAATTATGAACATATAGTGATAAAATTATGAACATATGCTCCTGTAATGAAGCGATCTGAAATTTTTTTAAAAAATGGTGGAAGATCACGGTGCCACTAACAACACCATTACCGTGTCCGCAATGCATGCTGGACACGGGTCCATAGCATAACGATTGCCACAAAAGCCAGTTATATTTAGTAGACAAGCCCAATCTAAAAATTGTTTGTGAAATTTGATCGGCCCATCATAATTGCGAAGTAGGGTTCAAAAAGGCCCTATTCAGAATCCTTCTTACGGTTACTCCGCGGCGGAGAAAGACAAAAAGACGCAGAGAGGCTGTTCGCTGCTTTAGCGCGATCGAGAAATGGCGATTTTCAGAGTATAAGCTTTGAATTTCTTTTTAGTTCTGTTAATTGAATCTGTACGCATATATACAAACACACATTATCTATTCATTTTGAAAAATAATTTTGGAATTTTGTTTGCGTGATTGCAGTTCCATCAGTACCAAGTGGTCGGAAGAGCTCTCCCCTCGGAGTCCGATGAGCACCCTAAGATCTACCGCATGAAGCTTTGGGCCACTAATGAGGTCCGTGCGAAGTCCAAGTTCTGGTAATGCTTCTCTCTCCCCGTAAAAGTTGTTCATTGATTTTCCTTTGTGTGTATGTATTGAGGGATGTTTGGTTTTTTTTTTTTTTTTTTTTTTTTTTTTTTTTTGTTGCAAAGGTATTTTTTGAGGAAGCTGAAGAAGGTGAAGAAAGCCAATGGCCAGGTCCTAGCTATCAATGAGGTATTTACATTACCTTCATATGTTACGTTTCTCTACTGGGCTGATCATCAATGGATTTTGTAGTCAATAGATGCCAACTTAGATACTCGTACTAATTTGGAACTCAGCTTTACTTAGTAGACTCTCTGCTGTTCTGTAATTGCAATTAGATTCAGTTTCTTGCTATTGAGCATTACCACGAGGATAATTTGGCTCTAAGCATAACAACGTCAAATAATTCTGTCTCTTAGGTCCATCCATAGGTAGCAAAGAATTACCCATAGTGTATTGCTTGATGATTATTTGTTTTATTTGATATTTTTTCAAGTTAGGACCTGTTAGTTACCATTTTATTACTGTTGTGTATATGGTTTATGCATATCAATGTACTGTTGCTTCTTCATTATTTCTCTACTGAAAAAGCAATGAACATGTTGCAATGATGTTTGGGCAAAACAGCCATGATATCTTCTGTAATATGATTTTTAAAAATTATTCATAAGTTTGACAGGGTCAACTTCCATATTTCTCTGCTTAGTTCTGTATTTAGTAACATACACAAGCTTATAAAACTTATTTTTGTATTCTGATTGAATAAATTTTCACATACATATAACATATGCGGCCTTTTAAAATCTGGAGATTGATACTTCTACCTTCTCTTTCTTCACTTATCTTATTTGCTTTTCCTTGTTAATTTGATAATGCAATCTTGTTGTGTTTATTATTGAACTGTTGTGTTTGGTGTGTCTCTAGATCTTTGAGAAGAACCCTACCACTATCAAGAATTTTGGGATATGGCTGAGGTACCAAAGCAGAACAGGGTATCACAACATGTACAAGGAGTTCCGTGATACAACTTTGAATGGTGCTGTTGAACAGATGTACACTGAGATGGCTTCACGTCACAGGGTCCGCCATCATTGCATTCAGATCATCAAGACGGCTACAGTCCCTGCCAAGCTCTGCAAGAGAGAGAGCACCAAACAGTTCCATAACTCAAAGATCAAGTTCCCATTGGTGTTCAAGAAAGTGAGGCCACCATCAAGGAAGCTCAAGACCACTTACAAGGCTTCCAGACCCAACCTCTTTGTTTAATTTGTTTTGTCTTGTGCTGCCAAATTATCATTTTGTTTCACATTTTGGAGTATTCGTTTATGTCAAGACATTGTCGGTAAAGATTCTTGTGTTACTATTTTGATCAGTGAGAATTTTTGTTTCTTTAACTGGATTCATACTACTAGTTACTTTCTACTTGTGCTATTTTTTCTCTTTTAGTGTGATTTCATGTGTCAACTTTTATAAGGACATTCAAAATATATTGTTTTTCAGTGGGACTGAGATGTGCTTAGAATTGTGTTGTTTTAATGTGAGTTTGTTCAGAAATTGGAAGTTATAAAGTAGGTTATTGTGCCATGTGGATTTCTCCTCTACAAAATCAAACATTATAAGGCATTGAAAAAATGTTTGGTGCAGTGGTGATGTATGTGTAAATAAAGCTTATTTGTGACGTTTGTTTCAAACACTGGAATAGAAATGTAATTGGAAACAAGTATTTGATAATTGTAATAAAGTTAAGTAGAATAAGTTTAATTTTGTCCATTAAGAAATGTTTGACTGTGCATTTAGAGAGGCTTAAGGGTGTATTTGGAAATGTTTTAAGTGCACGGAAGGCACTGCTTAATTCTCATCATTCTCCTCTTTTGTGTCACTAAAAGAGTTTCTAAATGTATTTTCAGTAATCTGTGAATGCAATGCCAAGATTTCTAAATCTACAAACATAATTACATATATGTATGGTCCGTTTTAGGTGTGAACTATTGCTATCATGTGAACCTGTGAACCCCCACGCACCGTTGAGATGTGAGATTGGACGGTCAAGATTTGAGAAGTGGTGCATCCAATGTAGTTGTGTAGTGGTGTAGTGATGTGGTGGTTCGGTGCCAATTGACAAGATATAGTTGCGTTTTGCTAAGGATGTAAAACGTGGTGTTTCTTGGGAGGCAACCTAAGGATTTTGTGTTAATTTTGTACATTTTGTTGTTATTTTTGTGTTTTTAGCTAACTTTGTGCAGGGATATACTTGTTGGAACACCGTGGGAGGAAATTTGTGCAAAATGGAACAAAGAAAGGGTGTACAGGGACCTCACCACGAACATGGTAAGGGCGTGGCCGGGCATGTTTTTTGCCACGACCCCCTATCACAATCATGGCGCAGTCGTGATAGGGGCAAATTCTGTGCCACGACCACATCACAAATGTGGTGGAGTCGTGGCTGGGACTGTTTCTCTGCCACGACCCAGATCACGAGCGTGCATGATCAGGGACGCAGCAACCCAACGGGAAAAATACTATTTAAACCCTTCTTTTATCTCATTCTTTCTCCTCACCACTAACACAAGCCCTAGGTATGAGTTTCGAACTCCAAAGCTCACATTTCTTCAATCTTCTTGAATCACTAAAGCAAAGCTCTTGAAAAGTTTCAACAATCCAAGGTAAAATTTTCAATCTCTTCATCTTCAAACTTGAGTTTCATAAGCTTTCTCTCTCTAGAACACCCAATGTGGGTTATCCTTGTTTGCATGGTGGCTCTCAACATAGAGCCAAGACAACACTCATGGGATTTTCGTTGGACCACTCTTCACTATGCTTTGTGAAAGCCTGGGGTTGGAGAGTAAGTTGAGGCGTGGAGAGGATTAGAGCCATAACACCACTTACAAAGGGTGACCTTGATCGTGCCAAGTTGACCCTAGTTGATGAGGAAGAAGAAGAAGATCCACATATGCCACCACCACCTATTACCTTGGCCCCGAAATCCCTCCACATTACACCACCGTCCATGATTAAGAATCGATGCAAGCCTTTCAATACCAGCTTCACCTAGAGAATATGGCCGAGCTTCGTGGGCAATATGAGGCGATTGGAGAGCTAAGAACTGGTTTTGATACCATGAAATTAAAATCTGATCTTTATGCCATCTTTGAAAAATTATGTACTATGGTTGAGCGTTCCATCAATAGTATAATTAAATCCATTCAATCTGACCTAGGAGCTGAATTCAAAAAATTACATCATTCCTTTTGTTCAGTTAGGAATCACTCATAGACAGTCTTGTGCCTACAGTCATGAATAAAATGGTCGTGTCGAAAGAAAACATAGACACATAGTTGAAACGGGTTTAACCCTCATGGCTCGTGCCTCTATTCCATATAAATTATGGGATTTTGCTTTTGAGACTGTTGTGTGTATTTAATTAACAGGATGTCATCTATTATGTTAAATAACTCCAGCCCTCACTTAATCCTGCATAAATCACTCCATCCTACTCTTTTCTTCGTGTCTTCGCGTGTCTATGTTAGCCCTATTTATAGCTATATAATCGTCATAAAATGTTATACAGGTCTTCTCCATGTGTCTTTCTAGATTATCCTGAGTAATTACGGGGTTATAGGTGCATTGACTTACAGGCTAATAAGGTTTATGTGTGCAGACATGTGCGGCTTGATGAGGCTATTATTCCCTTTACTACTAAGAATGTTTTGCACCCACCACGAGCTCCTCAAATCACTCCATGGGTAGAATCCATCCTACAGCATAGTCTGCTAGCGCCTCTATAAGAAGAACTAGCGGGAGGGGAGCTCCCACCAGACCAGCCCGCAGGTACCGCGTGGGACCATCCCGCGGGAGGCGAACTCCCGCCAGACCAGCCCGCGGGGACCGCACGGGACCATCACCCGAGAGGCAAACTCTTGCAAGACTTGCCCGCAGATACTACTGGGCAGCAGATTGACGCATCAGATACTGTCCCCGATCGACCCAAGGGGGCGTCCGCAAGGAAAGACAGTAAAATCTACCACTCAAACACACACTATGGAGACTCGCAGTAGATCTCAGGCACCACCCACAGTTTTGAGTGCTCAGGTTTGTCCCCCAGATCCTACTTGTCTACCCCTATCTCTGTTTCGAAATCTGTACCCTTCAGTGCAGATTTCTATGAAAATCCTACACAGTATAGAAGTCTGGCAAGAACACTATAGTATCTAACTATCACACGTCCGGATCTATCATTCGCAGTCAATCAATTGTGTTAACACATGCATGCTCCTACAATATCTGATAAGCGTCAAAAGATGCTAGTTTTTAAGGATTTTTTGAAGGTGTTTTAAGTATGGTTTAGCCTTAAAGTCATGTACTTTATAAAGTTTTACCTCAAAATGCGTTGTTGCACAAAGAAACCTTCCCAATTGTACTTTTTATGTTTTTAGGTATTTTTGAACGAGAAAAGTGGCAAAGAAGGATCAAAAACGCAAAATCTGGAAAAGCGCGCACCAAGGCATCGGTCACGCCCGAGTCACGGCGTAGTATCTATCAAATTTGATTTTTATGCAAAAGGGAGTGAATGTGAACAGAGTGTTGGCTAAACTACCAGGAAGGCTGATTTTCAATGCTCGGAACCTTAGGAGCTGTGGTATCTATCAAATTGGAGGTAAGGAATATATTAGCATTGATGAGTTGAGCCGTATGCCGGCGACTGAGAGGAAAGTGTTGATGGATCAGTTTAATATACCAAGCAAGAAACTCAAGCAATCGGTGCAAGAGGAGGAAAAAGGAGACGTTGAGGAAGAAGATGAAGGGAATGATAGAGAGAATGGGACTTCTGGTAGTGAAGATGCCAGTTGGAGAGAAAGGAGAAAGAAAGGCGAGCATGACCCAAAATCAACCGTGGACCTTATTCTGGCTCAGATTTTGAAGCAAAATCAATCAATGGAGCAATGTTTTACTTCGGTAAATGGCAGGCTCGACTCCATGTGTCAAAGAATAACAGCTTTGGAAGCTAGGTATGATGAGGGTAGACCTTCAAGTGCAGCCATTTCTAGTATTGGGGCAATAGCGAGCATAGCAGGCACTTTTCCTCAAGTCGGAACTCAAGGTAATCCAATTCAAGTCTCATTTCAGATTCTAGTTCTAGATAATTCAACTTTGTTCTTCCTAAGTACCTTAGTATAATCTAGCTTTAATTAATAAATAATCTTAGTGTTACGGTATGCTTTAGCCAAGTTTTGTAGGTATGGGTAGTTCGGTACATAATCTTAGCTAAGTTAGAATGGTGAATGGATCTCTTTTGATAAATTTCCCATTGCTTACCCCATCTTTGATTCTTGTCACACCAATTTGAACTTCTAATCCATTTCTAGCAACTCCATCTTTGCTTGAACTCAAGCTTCGAGAACGAAGCTTCTTTTAAGTGGGGAAGAGTGTGATGTTGGGTAATATGGTTGAAAATTCCCAAAAATAATAATCCTACGAAAAGATTAATATTATATGGGAAAACAGAAAGAATTGGGAAGGAAAAGGTTGAGTGTTTGGGTAGGGATTTAGCACGAGTTCGAACACGAAGTTCTTTTCCTTAAAACCTTATTTGCTACCTCCCACAAGTGCTAGGAGCGTTGTAGCCTAGGTTTCCCAGGATAAAACGTGCTACGATTCCTTGTTTAAGCACCTAAACAAGGAACCCGGCAAACAAAGCAAAGCTGGAACACAGATTGGCTAAAGAAGAGAGTAGAAGCAGAAGTTTTGAGATGAAAAGTTACTGGAATTCCTTTGTTTCTCACTGTGTAAAATGCTACTGCTTCTACCTCTCTTTATATAGGGATGTTGGAGTGATATCATTCAACATGGCCATTAAATTGGTGTTAAAACCAATTGTGTAACACCTGTAACGGTCACCACTAAGTAGGATTAAACTCAGAATTTAAAAATTGGAATTAAAACAGTATTAATTCCGTAACAGATGAGTTTAATCTTTTGCACTTTCGGGTTTCAGACCGTCGGGGTGCACGAGAGTGCTCGTGCACACTCTCGTGCTGTGGTACTCCACGAGAGTACACCTCTCGTGCTATGGTGCAATACAAGAGTACACCTCTCGTGTTCACCGTTGCACGAGAGTTTTGCTCTTGCTCTCGGTGCACCACAACCTCTTGTGCTCTCTGTAGCACGAGAGTGGTGTTCTCGGTTTTGGCCGAGCCAAGTGACTATAACAGATGGATGGAAAATGATACCGAAGTTAGGCATAACTTAGCCCGCAAGGCCAGCCCATTTCCGGACGACATTCGTGCCCGCAGGTGCCGGCGCACGCGAGCTCGGGCTTGATTTCAAGCCTTTTTGATGTCCTCTAGTTGGATTTTGATTTGCACCCCCCCCCCCCCCCCCCCCCGCGCGAGAGAGCCTCTATGCTATACAATTCTACAAGCTTGAAAAGAGCTCATGTATATAAGGGGGGCAAATCTTGTTTCCAAACCAATGTGGGACAAAGTCCTACATTTTCCCTTCATTTCCCAACT